AATTGTAGTTAGTTCAAAAAGAGCTCAAAATCCGGGAAATATTTCTAAAATATTCAGTTTTTGCAGCACAATGAAAAGCCTCAAAAAAACTGCCGCTGGACGAGTTTTCTTTGGCTACTTGCGAAATCTAATTTTTTTTCCGGAGTGGATGCCAGCAACTGAGCCTATTCAGAGGACTCGAGTATGGGTTTGAAAGACAAAATTCTATCAGAAACCCATAGAGCTCTACACATACATTCTTACATTACACTGGAACGTTCAAGAATTGAGCTTCCACCAAGGGTTGGTCCCTTTTCGGTATGCCCCAACGCAGTCCACTTCAACTTGTAGTTTTAGCGATGTCTGAGTGAGTATTTGATCCTTCCGTGTTGTAGAGAAAGTTGGATGGCCAGCAGGTGCCTTGTAGGGTCAGCATACATGTACGGGTTCGCATTTTCATACATCTTTTGAGTCCTAGTGATGACCTTAAAAAGAGTTGAAAGGTTGCAGTGTAAAGGCCACTTGACTCTACCCCTTTCCCTTCCTGTAGTGCCTAGGCTATTTTTAGAGCTCAGAATGATTTGCAGTCTACTGCTTTTTTTCTCAAGGGGGTTTCTGAAGAGGCGTCTGGGCACGATGGGGTTCATGGATCCCCACTTGTGCAGAGCATACTCGAATCCTATTCAAATCGACTACGTTGGTGTCGCTTTATTGGTGTCAGACTCGTATGGAGAACGACGCAATGACTCAACACCGGCTGGCCTCTGCGGGATGATACTAAAATTCAAAAGGGTTACCCACTCTGTGATCCGCATCCTCGTGTCTCCTTGGTTGTCAGCTGATGTTTGTTTACACATTGAAATAAACCATAGCAACCTTTAAACTGTGTTGACCCAGTAGTTCCCAGCAGCTTATTCACTATCGAAGAGGCTCGAACTCCTTACTCGGCAAAATATTTCTCTTCAGTATTTTTACCCTGGCTTACTTGGTAACATAGACTCCGTTCTTCAATCGAGTCTGGTCGAGGAAGAGGCGGGCGCCGTTGGTGAGCCGGCACGCGGCCAACGAGCATGTCGATCTTTGACCGAGCGCAGCATCGACGTCGTCGGCGTTGTTTGGCAGTTTGTTGTGTTGTGGACATCATATGAACGCATGTGAACGGCTGAACGGCGACGGCGGCGTTCCAGGCGGTGCCACCTGTGACGCGAAATTTCATTTGAGCTGTCCGTCCAAGATTGAAATTCTACATAATTGCTATGAATGGTGGCAGATCTCGGTCAGGTGGTTGGAAGCATTAATCACGATGAACCCCACGTGCTATTCATATCCCATGAAATGTTGAGAGGTTCTAGCCGCAAGGCCAGTTTCTCAAAGGGTCTTCAAAAGTCTTCAACATTATATGAATAAATATGTACAATTATTGGGTGATAGCTATTTTATGTCACTTATTCGAAACAATATAGAAATAAGTTAAAGAAGGCCTAAAAAGAATGAAATGAAAATAGGACGAAATCAAAATAATAAAAAAAAGATGTGTCCATAAACGGATGAGTGACATTGTTGAAACCTTCTGGAATGATTTTTCCAGTCCTTTACCGACCATGGCGTAAAGGCACTCGTTTTTTTTTGTTGATACAAGTGCTTGTAAGCTTGCTGATTTTCGGTCTGGGGTGCTCTTTCCGTAGAAGTCGACCACTCATCAGCTGTCGGCAGAGAAGAGAGAGAAATTTGGTGGGCTCGTAAGGAATCAGTTCAATGAGGCTTGCAGTTGATGAAGGACGTCCTTAACTACGACCTATGCAGTTGGAAGCGTGGCTGCGCCAACATGCCTCTTGTTTTGGCGTCCTTGAGGTCGAATGTTTTTTTTTTGACGCTACAGCTATAAAGTCGATCTGAGCCCAGTTTTATAAAGGCAGAGCAGAAAGTACCCAAAAAGTTGCGTAGTGGAGAGACCTTGGTCCCCTCTAGCTTCCCGGAAACCGAGAGGTTCACAGAAGCGATTTCTCGTGAAGTGTCTTCGTTCTGATCCACCCCTGTTAAGACAGATGTCTTGTATAAGGATATGCATCACTGTCAAGGATGGGAATCTAATGGACATCAAATGGAGTCGTCAGAAGAAGGAAAGTGCTCGTTTGCATAACGAATGAGCATTTTCTTAATAGGTACAAAGTGTAAAAGGGTAGTATCTGATTAATGTTGGTGACAATCATATGAATGCCCTTTCAGTCAAGTTCTTTCCCACCCGCATTATTCTAGGAAAACACTTGGATAACTTTATGGTTGAAAGTTGGACAAGATAGATGTTAAACATCACACGAATCTATGTTTAACTGGGCCCCATTGCCGTCAGCAGCGTGAAAAAACGAAGTCATGGGGAAGTATTCTCGGCATTTGTTATGAATGTTAACGTGGGAGGGAGCTTCGAAACGTGATCCAATGAAAGTGCATAACGAACATGTGATTAATCGAAAAAGGCAAAAAAGGATAGTCGACAGGTCGGCTAATAAAACCCAGCCCAGGAATTGCAAACATGACAGCCAACACTTGGTAGTTTGTACCTTTAACGCTGTTCCTGGTTCAGGAACTTCAAAGGAAGGCCAATGAGGAATAAGCTCGTCCCCGCTGATCGACCTGTGCGTGGTACACAGCGTTTCTACTTGAGATCATGTGCGGCCTTTGGGTGCGGTCAGGTTCAGAAGGAGCTCTTGAAGGCCGTATGGCGTTTAAAAGGCAACGAAAGGATTAATTTAGTCCTGATAGGCGTTTTAGGGTGGAGCGTAACAAAAGATGATGATTTTTTCGGATTTATTTGATTTACGGTTCTTAGCACACAGCAAGACCAGAAAATCGGATTTACCCGATCCCGATAAACAGCTTAAGAAGAGTTTTTTCTTTCGAATTGTTGTTGTATGTTTTCAGCAACAGTTCCACCCTCATTCAAGATAAATGCTACCAGACCATACATTAAATACCTGCTGAGTACGGTCGTCTAAAACCATTTGTTCTGGGTGGGTGTCGAAGGATAGCAGTTGTCAGGGTCTTTTGAAAAATGATCGGAAGACTGGTAGTCACCATTAATAAAACTAGCGGAGNAGAAGAGTTTTTTCTTTCGAATTGTTGTTGTATGTTTTCAGCAACAGTTCCACCCTCATTCAAGATAAATGCTATCAGACCATACATTAAATCACTGCTGAGTACGGTCAACTAAAACCATTTGTTCTGGGTGGGTGTCGAAGGATAGCAGTTGTCAGGGTCTTTTGAAAAATGATCGGAAGACTGGTAGTCACCATTAATAAAACTAGCGGAGTCTTCACAACTACCAGAGGTGTCGAGGGAACAAATCGAAAGAATTGTTACTTCATTGAGGAGTTTTTTATGCCCAAATTTGGCAGTGCCTCATTTTTAAGTGACATGGTATTATTCGTGAATGAATCGTTAAATGCTCTTCTTTTCAGAGAAATTCTTCTGGCTCCAATGATAGTTGCTGGAATGTTAGGACGAGTTGATGTGAAAGCAAGGGCAAGAGGATCCGGTGGAATAACGGCATTACCTCGTGCTGTTCGACATGGAACAGCCCTCGGAATAGCCGCGCTCTACCCGAAAACAATGGAGCCGTTACGTCTCGGTTTGTTACTAACTCCTTATTGGCGATTTGATTAATTGGATTTTTTTATATTTGGATTTAAACAGAACATTCATTTTTGACCGAATGGTTTTTTTTTTGAAGTTTGCCTCTCATTCGACTTCAAGTCAAGTGCCCGGTCTGCAATTTTACTTTCTTTGATGTTACTAATGATCCAGAACAAGCTGGATCCGTCTCAAGAAGCATAAGATTTCTGCCTTCTGTGATCAGCCAGTTTATACTCTGTGCAGAGCTTCCTGAAGTGGGCTTTTCAAAGTGATTTTTGGTTTGTATCACCCCTTTGTGACACTGTAGTTGGATATGGGAAGGAGGGCCGCTTTCCAATTGAGCAAAATTCACCTCATAAGCATGTCTTTTGTAGAGTAGATTGTCATTGAAGTAGGCTCAGGTCATTAAAAAATGATTATTGTTGTCTCCAAGGTTATGTGAGTTCAGGTGGCTCCTGCTGTTAGGGGGCTTCGGTGGGCGGGAAGGGAGAGTGGCAATCATTCACGTGGGAAGGGTTCAAATCGCCGAGTGAGATCAATGCCATTGATTGGAAAAAATGGAAACCTCTAAATTCTACTCCAACTGGACTGTAAAAATCATTGAGTCAGCCAATTACTTTGTACCCATATAGACCTAGACATTCCCTATCGTTACATGGCCTAGTTTTCACAGTGGGAGATCCTAACTTAATTCCAGTAAATCTCCACTGATATTTAAAAAAATCATATTTGTTTGTTGTTTTGTTCCTAAAGGGTGAATCGGAATCTCATCGCTTGAGCCCAAGAAAGGTAGCCCTACTCCTCCGAAGGCCTTCTAATTCTTATTTTGGAATTTAAATTTGAAATTGAATTATTTGAAAATTGAAAGGGTTAAGTTACCACTTTACTTTTGAGCAGTTTGGGAGTTCTGTTTTCAAACGGTGACGGTGAAAAAATTTGGAAAAAAAGATGATCCACGGAAGTCATTTACGGGTTGTGTGTACATATGGGTAAATTTGTGTTTTGAATGATTATGGGTTGATCTGGTCCACCCCGTTTGAGCTGCTATGGGCCAAAATTCCTTAATTTGTTGGTTTTTATGTGGTGTGGCCACACACTTTGACCTGCATGTTTGCGGTTTAAACTGTTTTTCCATTGGGTCCCCCCTACGCCTCAGTAAGTATGACTCATGAAAGAATTTGAATGCGGAACACATCCCATTGGGATTAATCAACGCCGATTACGTGGCGTTTTTGTGGGGGGAAATGGGCAGTCCTTGATGTCTAATAGACAAAGGACTTCAAAGGAGCGGCTTTTTTGCTATAAATCTTATAAAATGTGCAGTCGGGAGCTTTGTGACAGTGAAATGTTTTGAAAACGATATAATTTTCCAAACTGTTTCAACTCACCGGAGGTCCGGTTCTGAGGCGGCCGTTTAAATTTCATGACTTGATTTCAGCAAAGGGCAAATGCATTCAGTAAAAGTTCAACTGACGTATTGTTGTTGCGATCTTCTTGCATAACTGTCAAAGTTGTGCATACGAAATGATTCACTTTTGAAATGTCGTTTTAGAGGACCCTCTAATTTTGATGATGAGGTCGCTTTTCCCGAAAGTACATCCAAGATTAGCCATACAACGCGTATTCTCACTGAGAGAAGGGGTTTGGGTCATTCAGTAGAGTCGTATTCTGTGAGTACTAGTTAAGTATGTAGGTGGGGCAGGGAAGCTTCTCAGTCACGCCGTTACGACACCACAGTCCGAGGTGAGCCAGTGTTGACGGCTCATTAGTGTACGTCATCGAGGCGTTCAAAGAGCGTCAGTACTCCCCGTGGTAATCTCCGACTCTTTGATAGAGCCGTATGGATGTGGAGTTGGTTGACAGTTTGAAAAACGGCTTTTCGTGTAGGGAAAAAGGCCGAAAATCAGGTCTTGGACTCGGGAGCGGTCAGGAAACGTAACTACCTCGACCTAGCATAGTGGTTGGTCGCCTCTACAACCTTGAGACGGTCTGTCATCATCCGTTGACCAAGAAGTATGCTTGGTCAAGGTAGTTACGAATCGCCCAACCCCGAGTTCAAAGCCTGATTTTCGAACATTCTGAGCGAAAGCTCTATGAATAATGCATGCCTATAGTGTTGCATATGTATCCAGTTTTTGAGGGACTTAGTCTAGAGAACATATAAACCAAGGAGGTCTTCTAGAATCATCACTTGGGATACGTCATGCTTCCGGCTTTGTTTTTTGTTCGTGGCTGTGTTGGATGCCTTTGTGTTCGGCTCATTAGGTAACTTGCTGACATTCTGTTGGCAAACAAAATTATGACCACGAGGCATGCACGTGATAGAGACACGTGGGATTGATAAAATCATAAATGCCGAGTAATTATGTAAATAAAAAAAGTAATACACAGAAATTACTGAACATGTGGTCCAAGAACGAGGTGTTGCCCCGGATCCAAAGGGGCGTACATTAAGTTCTCGGAAACAAGAAGTGATGCAGAGCCTCTTCTAGTTTGGAAGCTATATTCGATCTACAGCAATAAATTTGAAATTTAGGGGTCCAGACAATGTTAAGCCTTTGTATTTCCTCCTATTTTAAAGGCCTAAGGAAGAGGAGGGGGCTTCGGCTTTTTAGCCGGTTTTCAGACCGGAAGTGTATCGGCTGAAAAAAAGCAATTATTCTGTCAATTTATGAAAACACATAGCCTGTTGAACTCTTTTTGTGGATACAGCTGCTTGTAGAAGTGATTCGCTGTGTTATCAAAGAAATGCTGAGTTGTGGGCAGCGCTTGGGGCAGATTTCGCCTAATCAGCTTGTTCTGTGTACAGATGTAAGCTGATAACGTAAGGTCTGCTAATGTCAGTGGCAAAGGGGAAGCCACTGTTGAAATCCCAGACATTGATCTTTGGTTTACTGCATAACACGCACTTGTATGATAGTAATTGATGGCCGAAAAGCTCATAGTAGTTATTTGCAAGTCAAGAGCAAGAAGCGATCAGAGATCACTTTTCCGGAGAGCCTCTTCAGGCACATGAAGTTCCCAGTTTGGCAGTGAAGGAGGCGGTGTGATAATGAAAACGGGAATTGAACCAGGAAGAGAGTTGTATACAAGTTATAGGGCCTATAAACAGATAAACAAATGCATCAGTCTTTGTTTACCTTGGGAGAGATGCATGTCGTTGAAGAAAAAGGGTTCAGAAGCGTTCAAGAATCACCGGTGAATCATCGTTGGCTAAGATTGTGTTGAATGTCCAACAACAAGGCTTGTCCCCTTCAAGTGTTGTCCAAAAACGGAGAATGCAATATTGAAGTAGTACTAGGTTTGGTATAGTCGTTCTCTAATTGGAAGTGTTCCAGCCGGTTTGTTAACTCTTGATCCACGTAAAAAGGAACGCAGTAAAGTCAATCAACCTGGTGCACGTGCTAAATGGATTTGGTATGTTATTATATTTGTCGTGTTGTTTTATTTTTTTCGTATTTTTTTGTCATTTAACTTTTTTTTGCTTTCCCTTCCGAATATTTATTAGAGTTCAGTAGAAAGTTTTTTTTTCTGCCCAATCCTATAAAGCGTAGGTTTTCTAGAAGTTTGTCCTCGTCATGCTATTCCTCTGCTTGCCTCTTTTCATATATTCGTAATTTCCACTCATTAGTCCTATATTTCTTGTCTTTTTCCATACTTTTTCGCTACAAAACTGTATTCTATTGCTTTTTTGTTGACTTCCATTACTTGCTTTGTTGACAACACCCTTATCTCTTCCAACAGGGATCTTTTCCTTTGCAGTTCTTTGCATTCGGGTCCGTAACACTCTCCGCTCTCAAAATGATTTTTCGTTCCCTCATTTTTGTCCAGGGTAACTTACGAACAACTTGGCCCAGTTCAGGGCTTTTTTAGATCGATTTCGTCTTAGGGATTTGGTAATTTGATTCCTTTTGGGTGAATCATTTTGCTAACATCTTTTTTGATCGAAATTCGTCTTGGGGATTAGGTATATCTGGTTCTTTTTGGAAAAATCATTTTGTTTGTCAGTAATACCGTAGCAATGATAGAAAGTTAAGATATTCTCTGAAGAAAAGCTTGTTAGAAAAGCTACTACCCGGATTCATTTAGTCAGAAATTGTGTTGAGTTCGTTTTTTTGACTTTCCTCTACCTTGGAATGTTTCAATCTCCGAACTTTATCTGTTACCATTCTGACTTCTTTTGATTTCCTTCGTTTGCTTTCCTCCACCTTCATTCCTATCTCTTTGCCCTTGTTTCCTTATCATTTTCATGTTTCATGTGTTTTCGTGTATTCGTCTATTTCCATTAGGAAGTAGAAGTCATTGTATCAGTCACTGTTCCTTATCGCTTCCACTGAAACGAATGACTCACATAGACAAAAAGTGACGAGGACAACGAGGCCTACATACAAAGTGCACTTTCTGCAGTGAAATCGATTTTTCTGCTATATTCTGTTTTTTGAGGCTGGCATTTTTTGCAGCTGAAACTTTTGAGGGACCGTTTCTTTTTTTTCCGATTTTTTTCTGGATTGAATTCTTCTGAATTTCTGAAACGAATTTCTAATTGATTTTACTTTTCCACCCCTCGTTTCAAAGAGAACCGAGCCTTCGAAGCTCTCTAGCCTTCTTCTTCCATTTTTTCTTCTTTCTTTCTTTCATTTGTTTTCCCCTTTTCTTCTACTTTTTGTCTGTTTTCTACATCTCTCCAACTCCCCCTTCCCTTCTGCTTTCAAATTTCGTAGCTGTTGGTCTCGGGAAATGGTGAGTCACCCGCGTGCACCTTCATAGTTCCGCGTTTTTAGCATAGAGGTTACTAACGCTCTCACTCAATGGTCACATCCGTCACGAACTCGAGAGGGTTGTACTGAGCTAGGACAGTTATGTAGACATAGGGTCACCCCTCCATTATGAGCCCTTTCAAAGCAAGATAATCATGTTTGGGTCCTATTCCACTCTGTCTCAGACGATTTTCGGCCTTCAGTCTTTACAAATTGGGGTCATGCATAGCTTATTCCATCTTCCTAATCCCCAGTCTATTCAGTGAATTGGTCTTCCGACTGGCAGTAGTTAGAGCTGGTGGTCGTATGATCTTCGGTCCATGCATTTCGTCTGGCTCACTCACAATCGATCCCCCAGAATTTGTCTCTTCTTAGCAGTTCTCAATGTTTGGTCCCTGTTGCACATCCTTCCTTTGCCCCTCCCCCCTCTCCGCTCTTATCCATTTTCCCAACCCCACGGCGGCTGCGGCTGACCCCGCGGAACGTCAGCTGATTCGTCGGGATGTTCGGTCAAACCTCTTATGTGGTATTTTTTGCAGGAAACGGCGTTGAGTGGCAGTGCCCGGCACGCGTCTGGCCCCGCCTATTCGGGCGGGTGCGTATTTGTTTGCGATTACCAAGACTAGAGGCGGTGAATGTGATGATGATGTTCAAGACAAACAAATAGTTTTCCCCGAAACCACCGCACATGTGGATGTTTCGTTGGATTTAAAAAGAAAGAGTAAGGTACAGTAGATATTGTTATTTGTTGTTGTCTTTGTTTATTGATTGCTGTTAGGTTCTATTCGAATTCGATAAAGTGATTAAAACACCTCCACTGGACGATCTTGACCTTTTTCTCGAAGTGCAAAAAAGCTGCGAAACGAACTATGGAAAAGATTGGGCACAAGGACGTGAAAAATGGCGTCGAACAACGAATGGGAGCAGCTGTGGGTGTGTATGTGAATGTCTATGGGTGTATGTCTGTATGTGTGCGTGCGAGACGGGAGGTGTCTATGTCTGTGTTCAAAGTACTCCAGTACCCTGGGGTGATACGGTAATGCCCTTTGAGACTGCACTGCAGAGGTGATGTGGCTGTGCTGTTGCTGCGAAAAGAATGAGGCACAACGTTGAACGGCGCGAGAGCCGACGGCAATGGCAGCCAAAACGCCTGCAACGTAGAGTGCAAAAGTGCGCCAGGAACGTCTTTGCAGCAGACACGACATGATAAAAAAAAGCAGAAACGATAGATATTTATAGAAGGAGGAATGTGAGGTGGCGCGTTGGCACGAAGCCAAGGAAAAGCTTCTTCCGCAACCACATGGGAGTGGGAGGATGTCTGAAGAAAGTAGCAGCCCACATACCCCCACTAGCGAGGTTTTGTGGGATATGTATTGTGGAATGAAAATGAAAAAAGAATGAGGCGGCAGACTACAGTGAGTATGGAATTGTCGTGTCGGAGGAATTGTCGTCCAAAATGGGCGGTACTTGAGTAAATATTGTGGAAAAATGCTGATCTCTATTAACAGTGTACATTGGCAAAAATTTTGAACTTTCTTAATCAAGGTGCGAAAAAGTAAGCAGGGCTTTTGTGACTCGTTCAGGTTGTTCCCAAATTAAAGGCCCATGCGGTTGTTGAGAAGGTGGAAATTGGGTCCCAAGACGAAAATATTACCGTATGATCTCTGATTCAACCTGTGGTTTTTTAATGTGGATAAACCAAATGAATTATCGAGATCTCCTAAGGAATGGAATAAATGGAGAATTCGCAAAATTTTTGTCCAAAGACCAATTGTTCGAGGTAATTCGACGCCACAAAGAACCGCCCCATCGTAGCCGTTTTTCAAAAGGATAGCCATGTTTTTCAAGGTGACCTCGACACTAATGTGACACACACTTTACCATGTTTTGTGGCTAAATCAAAGGCTTTAAAAACTGTTGACACTTCAACAGGGATACGGTAACTATCTGTCTGGACCTCTCTTCAATGCTCAGGTCAATCTCCTTCAGGAGATGTTGAGGGCATGGTTTTGAAAGGATTCAGATTAGTGAAGGTAGAAGCCATCATAGCCAAAAGTCTAGTGATCAAACTAATGCGATTAGCGAGAGCCGCCCACGGGGGACGAGTTTTCACATGGCGATCGTTGAGTGGGTGGGTGTCCGATGCAGAACACAAGAGTGCAAGAGCGGCTTCATGCAATGTCGATTTAAAAACAGAAACATTCGAACAATAACGGTCTAGTGCTTTTGACTCTTGATGGCTTCTTCGAATGCCCTTCTAGCTGCCGTGACAAACTGCTGCTGTTGCTGCTGCTGCTGCTGCTAAATCACAGACAGACGGGGACCAGTTGTTCTGGGGCGAGCTGAGCATCCCAGGCAGCATCGCTACAGGTCGTATAGAAGCGATGCGATGTGAGATGATCGTTCAATGTGCCCAAAGGGCAAGCAATTGCGTTGCAAATCGGATTTCCTGTGTGATGCTGGCTGTATTTCAGGGGGGTTGCAATGGAAGAATGATGCTAATCGATACTCTGAAACATCTAGCTACTGAAATAGATCTTTTTTAGCTGGTATAACTCGAGTATTACACCATTTTGTCGATGTCCTTCCCCCTTGTTGGCCTTGTTGGGAGCGAACTCGGGCTCCTTGGGTCGTCTGGGGCGCTTCTTGTTGTTATGGCTCTTGGCTATTTTGTTTACCCGATCTTTAGCCTGAACATAAAAAACCGTTTGATCTTTGCTATTTATTTACCTAAGCGTGTGTATTGTTGACATAGTATGAGTTATTCGATTTCAAATTCCCGGACCGCCCTCTAGGTGCCCCAAAAAACGCGAAAAGCCCACGACAACATTGACTGGGTGTTGCTTCATGGTACGCCATTGATGTTGCTGACACCTTTGCTGCCTGATTTCGTTTTTTTTCCAATTGCACTTCCCGATTTTTTCTGTTCTCCCAGTTTCTTAGCAATAATTGCCAGATGTTGATTTTTTTTATTTGTTTTTTTTTCCGTGGTTCTATCCCTTATTGGGTTCATCCAGCCTTTTTTTTGATTTGTTGATTCTTTCCTTTTTTTCTGCCCTCCTGCAAAGCATTTCCTCGATGCCATGCTTTCCCGCGTTTTCACCCAAAAACTTCCCGTTTTAAGCGTTGAACTCGCGGGGCAGAGCGACGACGTCGACAACGTCAACGAACGGCCTTCGCGCAAGTGATCATGATCTCTCTTCGCGGTGGTGCTAGGTGCTGGCTACGGGGGTCCACGGACACGGGGACATGAAAGGAGGGTACGAGACAGCGGGACGGGGGGTACGGCGGGGGCTATTGACCGCCGGGCGGCCGGGGTCGTCGCGCCCTGGCACGCCCCGCCCAGCTGCGCGCCGCCAGATGGCTTTGCGGTGCGCTCGTGAACGGGCGCCGTCCCTGATGGAGGCGCCGCTGTTCGCCGCCGGCGGCGCTACCGCAGCGATCGCCGCGCCCCAAGCCGCCAGCGCCTTCTATGCGCCCAGCAATGCTACCTCGAATGCTCAATCCGTACATGCACCTCGTCATTCTCACTCTACAGCCACTGCCAGAACTCCTAGGCACTTATTTGCCTCGTCCATCAGTTCGGGTGGTGCCAATGGTGGCGCCACGTCCGCGTCCGCTACAGGCGCTGAACTACTCGGAAATTGTTGGACGACGGAAGAGACATGGCATAACGTTTATAGTTGGATTAATAATAGCCAGGTGAGCCAGTGTTCAGCTCGTTTTTTGGCTTCTTTTTTCGTTTAATTGGTCTAAAGATGCTCTTATCGAATCCTACATGACCTTTATAGGTAGAAGATGAGCCATGTACTTTCCTCAAGGATTTTTTTTTATTTATTTTGCATTCCGAATCATAAAAATATGGGATTTTTTACTCATTTCTTTCCTTTCTTCTGGAAGGTCTGAAAGTTTTGGAGGTCATTCTGTGGAAGGTGACCATGTTAGGTCAACTGAGCAATACGTGGAACCCTTCAAGGATTAGATCGTATTCATAGAACTGCCAAGCTGTCTTTTGTTGCCACTAAAGTGCAAGTTGTCGTAGAGATGTTGGAATCTTAGTCAGCAATTTATTCATGCGTCATTTTGTTGCCGTAAAGTTAAATCGACCACGGCTAGATGTTGGCCCGAAGCCAGAAACCCCCTTAAGCATCGGTCATGTATACTCAGCTAACCAAAATACACCACGAATGTTTTGGGACTACGCAAGTTTTTTGAAGCCAACGGTAATTTTTACGTGACGTCACGGTTTTTTCGCTTTGTCGGCGTTTGCAAATAAAATCGATCATCGACTGGAATTTTCAAAACTTTGGTTTTTTCCATTTACTTTTTGACTCACCAAATAATTTCCTTTGAGTAGGAGCTCCTTTTTTACCGTGCCCTTTTCTGAACTGTCATGTAGCAGACCTTATCATGGATGACGTCCATAGAAGTCAGAAATTCTTCTACGAAGGGTCATTGGTGGAAGTAGTTGGCATTGATTAAGCTCTGCGCCATGCCCAACCGATTAATCGGGAATCGTAGACGTGTTTGAATGCCTCCTCTCTCTATCCCAGAGTTTTCTTCCTTCAGGGGTGCCTTCTTGGTAGTGGACCGACCACCGAAAAATGGATCGACCCTTGTCTGTCCACGCTGGATCAGTCTACTGGCTGGGCTACCTGGTTTTGTTACCATCCTTCATTCTCCTCACCTGGAAACCATCTGAAATCTACAGTAATCCATGGGTTCTGAGCGGCTTACTTCCTTATATCTTCCTATTTTTAATCATCAGAGCTCTCTCTATGATACTGTATCTATCGGTCTTTACTTACATCTTCACTTACAATTGAAGTTACGATTTGTAATGAGTAGCTATGACTAGTAAAATCTGTCTGCCCTAGAAGGGCTAGAAAGATAGTCGTCACGGCCAAGGGCTACCCAGCAGTCGTTACGGCCAAGGGCTGACCGGCATTTGAATCATTGAATTACTGGTTCATCCCTACCGTAAAGGTTTTTTGGTACTCGCCAATTGGTACCGTAAGACCCCCGTGCGGCGTTCAATCCAATCGTGNGTGCAAGAACGAATATCTGACCTCTCTGGTGACAAACTCGCACGGCGGCGGCGACGGTGGCGTGTTCACGTCGTCGTCGTCGTCATCGTCATCATGTCTTTATGACGACGCCAAACGTTTTTCTAGCGGTTGACACTGACCTCGACGTTGTCGCCATTTAAATTGTGCATTGTGCAATTACAGACATTTTTTTTCTTGAACAGGGTGTGAATTCACACATAGACGCGTCGTCCTTTTGAATGGCATTTTAATTTTGCAGCTCCTTTACAGCACAGCAAGCAAGCAACTCTCAGAGTTTATCGATTACAATCGTTTGTCCTTTGCCGTTTTTTTGGTTCGTTGCCCTTTTTGCAGCGTCTGTCTTCCAACAACGCTCCCAGTTGCTCGATGTCCGGAAAACTTAGCCCATTCTTATCACGAACTGGGCAGCGCCTATCCTTCCAACCTTGGGCCCCTTCTCGAAAAACTTCTGTTCTGGTGGCAGAACCATGTCGGTCTGGAGCTTGTCCCCATGGTGTCCCTATAGAGAAGGGTGTGGTATCTTAGGTTTCGCTCCGTTTTTTCTCTGAAATATGGCCATCTTTTGGTATGGGTATGGGTATGGGTGTTCCAGGGATTTTTTTGGTATGGGTATGGGTGATGAACACACTATTTTACTATTTCACACATTTGAACGGCAACTGAACACCCATAGCCATAAAAAAGCAACGATTGTAGCGCGCTGGGTTGAAAGCGCGTTTTTCGCATGTATCTTCTCACCCTTACCCAGCGATGCCGTCAATTGTTTCAAGGTCATTCTACTGGTACCAGACGTATGTGGGAAAATGGAAACGCTGATCCAACGAGCACTTTAAAAGCATTCCATCGTCCATACATGCATTCCGATATTTGCAATTCAAAGACTTAGTAGGATGCATGGCGCACTCTAGTGGAATTCGCTTATCGCATGTATTCTTTTCTATCTATTGCATCGAATGTGAAGCGATAAAGAGTGCTGTCTTCCTTCCTTTTGGATCTGATATGGCATTGATACGGGAATAGGGGTGTGGGCAGGAGTACGAGTATGGGTATGGGTAAGGTTAGAAGCTGCACGTCGTCAAGCAGTTCAGAAGCGATCTTTGGTGTGCACCATTCTAGGCCTCTCTAAGACGGTCGACTGGTGACAGCCTTGTTAAGAAAGGGAGAAAATGTCAGGACCGGGGATGCACTTTGTTTTTTCCCAGATGTTGCAAGGGAGTTGAATTCTTTTGAGGCCGAGTTAGGGAGGAGGGTGAGGGGAGAGGGGGAATGGGTAGGTAGGGGGGGGGGG